ACTACTACTACTACTACTACTACTACTACTACTACTACTACTACTACTACTACTACTACTACTACTACTACTACTACTACTACTACTTACTACTACTACTACTACTACTACTACTACTACTACTACTACTACTACTACTACTACTACTACTACTACTACTACTACGACTACTACGACTACTACGACTATTACGACTACTACGACTACTACGACTACTACTACTACTACTACTACGACTACGACTACGACTACTACTACTACTACTACTACTACTACTACTACTATTACTACTATTACTACCACTACTATTCTTATTATTCTTATTAGTATGACTTATATTAACAGTCGTATTTTTTATTCATACTACTGATACGATTAATGTTAGTATTTGAATTCCTTGCTCCACCGCCCCTTAGGGCCTTCGGCGTGTTAGAACGAAATCTGCGAATTGGATTTGAAACGCGCACGAGCCTTGGTGGAGCCCCAATCGCACCACAACTCGGTAGCAATTTAGGTTTGCCCACCACAAGGGGGCATTTCAAATGGCCGCCGCTATCCTCTTAGCCGGTTGTTTCAGGCACAGACGGGAATCCCAAATCCAGCCCAGGGCCTTCGAGATCGCATCGATTTGCTGTAAGAGAGCCCATGAGCGACCCAGGACGCCACGCGAGCCGCCATGATCGCACCAAGAGGCCCCCAAGGGGGAATTCGCAAATAATCCAATTGCTACTCCTAAATCAGTGCTCTTTATAAGTTTGATGTCTGTCTTGCTGTTGCTGCCGAGTGCGTCGCAATCCATGCTAAAAGAAATTGGGTCTATAGTGTCTGGCCTATGGTGTCTGAGCTGTGGTGTCTGGTCAATGATGTCTGGGCTATGGTGCCTGGGCTATGGCGCCTGGGCTACGGTGCCAAGGCTATGGTGTCTGAGCCGTGGAGTCTCGGCGGTATTCGCCTGGGGAACATATCCCTCCTGGTGGTGCCTGGGCGACGTCCAGGCCATGGTGCCTGGGCTTCGCGATGGCGCCCAGCGTGAACTAGGGCGCCTGGTCTGGGCCATGGTGCCTGGTCTGGGCTAAGGAGCCTGGTCTGGGCAGCGGTGCCTCGTGTGGGCTGCGTTGCCTGGCCTGGGCAACGGCGCCTGCTGTGAGCTGTGGTGCCTGGGCTTGTCCCTGTGCCCCACTGCTCGGGCCATGGAACTTGGTTTGAGCTCTGGTTGCGCTGTTCGGGCTGTGATACCTGGGTTTGTCTCTGGGCGGAGCTATCATGCCTGGTGCGAGCCGTGGCGCCCGGTCTGAACTATGGCACCTGCACTTCGCCATGGAGAATTGACTTGGCAATGGTACCTTAGCGTGGCTCACATCTGGACTTCTTGAGATGTGGCGTTTTTATGAACTATGCTGACTGATGGGCCGCGGTGCCGGCACTTTGCCCTATTATCTGGGGCTGGACTTTGTGGATTGCGGCGCCCGAAGCAGGGCTGTCGCATGCGTCGTCGCTCAAACCAACCTGGTCTTCCACAGAGGGGGCTAGAGCCGCGATGGCTGCGCAACGTTTGCAATGCCAGGCGGCTGGTCTGTGCATACTGAGTGCGCGACGAACATAGATGCGCTTGTGGGTTCTACGATGCTGCGAAGAATCTGGCCGACATCCGGAACTAGTTTCGAAGTGCCGCAGCCCATCTCAAGTCAGTACACCATGTGCAGCGGCCGTGCGGAACACGGCATTCTGGTACCGCGGTAACTTCAGTGCTGCATCCGGTGAGTTCGACGCCGGTCGGCGCCCAATAGATCTGCGCGGTGCCTGCCACACTCGCACGGCCCATGTACTTCGATCCAGCTTCTCTAAGGTTCCCTGCATCAGCGAATTGTCCGGCGATGGCGTGCCGGAGTGCATGCAGGTGAACTACCGTGGAAATCCACCATCTTGCAAGTTTGCGCCCCTTGCGACGTTGGTGAGTATGCATCGGAGCTGAAACGGGCGAAATGGCTTTTGCGGCTAGAAGCCTCTGTGGGCTGGCGCGCCTGAAGACACGCGAGGTGGCACGCAATTATGCGACGAGCGCTCGGAATGCGCGGCCGAGGCCATCGCGTTCTACCTCCCGAGCACCATACGCAACAATGCCTGTATAAGTGGGCCTTGATATCATGCGGGTTGTCCCAAGAATATGTCAGGATCGCGTCGGGCTGCGACTGCGGGGCTCAGGAGCGCCAAGATCGGCCAAATATTTAACGAACATATCGAAATTATAAAAATCTTCGGCTGCCGGTAGGAGACGTCGGGGTATGCAGCGCTTACGAAGGCCACGAGCGCCTCTTCGTCCATCGGCAGCCCATCTTGCGCGCGCTTGACCACCCACCACGGAAAAGTTCGGATAGTCAACGCGCTTGTCGCAGAGGCAGGAGCCCACACGACGGTTCCGGCAGCGCTCCAGCGGGTCGCTGTCCAGCGCAGACTGGCAGCGCTCTTTCGCCTCGGCATGGTTGGAGCAACGGCCCTTGGGCTTGTGACAGTACCCGCCGGCCCTCAGTGTAGCGCCGCAGCGACCGCGCTCGGCCATGCAGGAGAGGGCACCCTCTGCTCCCATCGCGCGCACCGCAAGCTTGAGGTGCCACTCCTCCGCGTGGATGCCGCACCAGCCTTGGGACTTCTCGCAAGCTCTGTCACCCTGCGGAACGCCGCAGCACCTATTCCTCGAGCGTCGAAAGCGCGCCGCACAGCGGCACGGCGGCCCCCTCGCCCTCCTGCTCCAGGAGGGCTAGCTCGGCCCGGCGATGGGGGAGGCAAGCCCTTGCGCTGCTTTTGCAGAGCCCGCTATCGCGGCACGGGTGGCCGCACAGATCCTTCCAGGGTCAGCGGCGCCCAGCGCAAGCACGTGCTCTTCGCGTCCAAAACCTCGGCGGCGGCGTCGGCGTGCCTGAGCTCGGCGTCCACGGCGCTCTCCTTCGGCGGCCGCGGCGCCCCGGCATCCTCTGCCGGTGGCCCATGTTTGCCATCAATTTCCCTCGGGCCCGCTGCGTCGCCATCGCCGGCGCTGACAGTCGGGCTGCTTGCGCCACTGGCGGTGGAGCAGGCGGCGCTCTGCAGGACGGCGAGCTTCGAGATGCCATCGTCGCTGCCGAGCGAGAAATCCGGGAGGCGGTGCTCCAGCAGGGCGGCGGGCGGCGCATCTGCCGAAGGTGGGGACGCGGCGTGGCCATCGGAGCCGCGCGGCGCGAATGCGCACGGGTCGTCAGCCGACCCCGGCGCCTGCGACACGCCGCCGAGCGGTTTGGCAGCTGGCCCCTCGGCGGCGGCCAG